GCTGAGATTGTTAGTATGGGGCTGTGTGGCCTCTCAAATATATTGTCCCTCCGCTCCGCAGCGACGAACTTAATCGACCTCTGAAATTCTGATCGGCTGAATAAATTCATCGCGCCGCTGCACAGATTCACTCCACCACCTGTGACATAAGTTCACAAGTTACGATCCGATCCTGTAGGAGGCTGGAATCATGACCCCCCCTTCATCCCTCCCAGTAGCTGTGAACAAGCAATAACACCGACACACGGTGTCGACATACGTCCATCTCCACCCGGGACCCCGTGTTGAAGCTCGTCGTGGTTCCTGCATTGCCAACTTCATAAAAATAAAATAAAATCACAAACCGAGACAAGTGGCCCTACAGTGGCCTCTTGGCTACAGGTGGAAACTTTTACTTCTGGGAATTCATCCCTTCCCAATGAACAATTACGGGAGCAACAGTGATCACCCTTTTTGCGGCTGTTGGCCTACCCACCAGGTGGATGATGCGCCTCGGATAACGTAATGAGCCAAACAAGTGTGGCAAACTTCGGTATGTTTACAAAACTGCTACCTTATCAATTGTTCACAAAGAAGTATGGAATCCCCGAAAGTAAAAGTTTTCACCTGTCGCCAAGAGGTTAGTGCGAAGGGTCTCTGTATGTCTTAACCGCGAATCGCCAGGATAACCACGATGGCGTCTTAAAATAGCTGGTACCCTGGAGATCGTGTAATCTCTCCAGAGACAAGAGACCCTCCACTGGCCTCTTGGCGACAGGTGGAATTTTCTACCTCCGGGGATTTAACGTTTCCTTATGCCCTTTGCACACGTCACAAGTTTTAAGTTGAAAGTGGGGGTCATCAGTGCATCGCAAATTTCACGATCATCGATGAGTGATGCACCAATGACTCCCACTTTTAGTAAAACTCTTGCAACGTGTGCAAAAGGCACTGTGGACAATTCTAGAGAGTAACAGTCATCGTACCCACTAGGTGGATGATGAGCTTCGGGTTAAGTAATGAGCTAAACAAGTTTACCAAACTTCGGTATGTTTGCGAAACGAAATACCCAACACGTTGTTCAATGTCCACCTAGAAGGCAAGTCAACAGTTGAATGTTGAAGTTCCGAAAATAAAAACTTCCACCATTGTCAGGGCACCAATGGAGGGCTTCTTATCTCTGGATCTCTTCGCCGCACTTTATGGTCAGTGCAACAGTTCAAATCACGTGCTTTCTCTATTTTCCAAAAATGCAAGAATTAAAAGTTACTGAACAAGTTCATTGTGACAACATCCCGCGGCACCTCATAATGTCTCCCGCGCCGCGCCGCGATGCCAAGCCACAACCTCACCGGCGACATGTGGCCCTCAGGTGTTACCGCTGTGTGTTAGCCCTTCGCCACTGCCCTCCCCCTCCCCCTTCGACCCCGCTCACCCTTTTGCCCCCCTCCTCACCCCACGCCAGCCTGATGCTGACGTAAGTATATCTTTTATTGAACTTTTAATATTTCACCCGTTCGCGAGATGGTGTTGTCTGATCTACGAGGAAATCATTTTCTTATTGATCTCTTCGCGTAATCATTTCCATCAGCAGATTTTGAAAGTAGCAGCGTCCTAATGTTGAGATCATTCAGGGCCGCTTCTAAATTACGTAACGCTTGTAAAAACGTGTGCTGAATAATCTATTCTTGTCAGAGCACTTGGCCCCTCCAAGAATGGATTCATTTCCATAGGTTTAAATGGAGAAAATTCGGTGTTGCCAAATTACTGGGTCCTCCAATGTCCTTTTCTATGAATTTAAAAGGCAGATGAATCGATATATTGCAAAGCACGCCACGCCAATAGCTGTATCGGTCGTTTTTCATGCGTTTAAACGGACGGAAAAGAATTGCCCGTAGGTAGATCCACGGCTAGAGCCTGAACTGTCGAATCTTTATCGAACGACCTTTTACATCCCTATCCTAGCAATGCTATCTATCGATCGATAACGATGCAAAAATCGACGCGGAGGTCGTAGCACCGCGCACCGTTGCCGAGCGGGCGGAAAAAAATTCCAGGTTCCTCGGCGCGGTCATGGAGGCAGGTGAATTTTTTCGGACGGAGCGGCAAGGCTGGCCGCATGACGAGTACACAAAAAGTGAATTAGGGCCCTGCGCCGGGCAAGGATTGCGGTTTTCAAAAGGGAACCACGCGAGGCGGAGATGTAGGATGTGTGTAGTCCACTCTTTGCTTTTCTCGCCGGGCAGGGGAGGTTTGGGGGGGGGGCGGCCACAATTAAGAGGTTTGTCGGGTCTCTGAAGCCCCGGCCGCGATGACGACGCAAAAGCTCCGAAAGCTCGGCGAAGCTCCGTGTCTTTTGTTCTCGAGCTCGGAAAGCACGGCTGCTGGAAACGAGAAAACTACCGTGCTATATGGAAAAACGCCGCATGAGCCTCCAGGTGTTGCCAAATTTGTTTTGATAAAATGAGAATTTCCAGGAAAATTTGTGGATATTTTTTTTTTCGAATTTTTCCAAGAATTTTATTCGCGATCAGATCTAAATTATCCGAAAATCTCGAGAAAAATTATTCATTTTTTCTAAGAAAATGAGCGTTTCATCGGAAGAAATGTGACAACGTCTTGGAGGCTCTTGTGGCGTTCTTCCTTCTTGTCTTCTTCCTCCTTTTATAACTTTTTTTCTTCTCCCTCCTGTTCATCTCCTTTTCCCTTTTCTTGTTCTTTCTCTTGTTCTTTCCCTTTTCTAATTATTCCTCGTACTTTTCTTTTTTCCCTAGTCTTCTTCTCCTGTCCTCTACTTTTTCCTAAAATTTTTCCAAGAATTTTTTTCGCGATCTCATCTAAATTATCTGAAAATCTCAATTGAAATTATTCATTTTCTCCTCGAAAATAAACGTTTTATCGGAGGAAATGTGGCAACACTTGGAGGCTCATAATATGGCGTTCTTTCTGAGCACGGTGGAAAACTTCTATGCTACCGTAGGCCCGTTGTAGGGGCACGAGAAGTACGCACTCAAATGGGGCGCCAACCGTGGGGGTGTCAAAATTTATTTTATTTCTTTCTTCTTGTATTGCTCAGAGCAAAAACAAGGTAAACCCTTCGAAGAATTGAAATAATAATATTCACAAGTTTTCTTGAAAATTCTCATTTTATCAGAAGAAAGGCAACGTCTGAAGGATTATACGGCGTTTTTCTTTAGCAAGGTAGTATACTGCCGTGCTAAGGAAGAACGCCGTACAAACCTCCAGGCGTTGCCAAATTTCCTTTGATAAAACACGAATTTCTTGGTAAACTTATGAATATTTTCCCTCCAATTTTTCAGATAATTTTGTTCGCAATTTCACCTAAAGTTTCTAAAATTCTCAAGGTAAAATATGCATAGGTTTTCTCAAAAATAAACATATTATTGAAGGAAATTCGGCACCTTTCGAATGTTCATACGGCGTTGCCAAATTTTCTTTGATAAAACACAAATTTCCTGGTAAACTTTTGAATATTTTCCTTCCAATTTTTCCGGTAATTTTGTTCGTAATTTTACCGGAAGTTCCTGAAAATTTCAAGGAAAAATATTTATAAGTTTACCAAGAAATTCGTGTTTTATCAAAGGAAATTTGGCAACGCTCGAAGGCTCATACGGCGTTTTTCCTTAGCACGGCAGTATAGTCCTTGGATTCCTTGAAAATTGCGTGTGGCCGAAGGAGGTAAGGGGGGGGGAGGG